TGAGTTTTTAAGGCTATTTGTCTTGAATCACCAAGATATTTTCCTCGCATGAGTCCATGATTATATTTTATAGATGCTTCACCTTTATTTGTGGAAAACCTAACGCGCAACTGATGAAAAATAATTGTTATGTTTGCTTGCCTCATTCTAGGTTGTTTGAGGATTTCATCATAAATGGATCATTTGTTAAAAATATAGAAATTCATATGTTCTCGGTATGCTTGGGGATCCTCTCTTAACTTCACTAACAAAGTGGCCCATCCGCGAGAGATTTGGCCGCCTTTGATGAAATTGTGAGGCTTTGACACATGAATTCATGGATTATATGTTTGCATTCAATCGAAAGATTTTTCGTATAGAATGTTAATTGGACTTTCGCTGTCCAAGAGCATATGGTTAAAATTTTATTCGGCTATCACAACGCTTGTATGACTACTGCCTTGTCCTCAGAACACGTGATTTCATTTTCATATTTGGGAGCTTTAATTGAAGAGACGATAGATTTCTAATTACCTAGTTTCTCACGAGTCCTAAGGCTGAGTTTATGCCGACAAACTTATCTTTCCTTCGTGTGCCGATCTCTTCGTTTTGGTTCAAGATTGAGCTTAAGCGGTCTTACTACTTTTTGCACAGCCACTGCCATCAGGATCTTTTCTGGGAAAAATTTTCGTCACTCCTAATGCCTTTACTTTAGTAAGATTTGACTCCATTTTACTCATTTCTTCAAAAACTTTGACAATCCTCTAATTCCACAAAAAGCACCAATTTGTTGACCTTCAAATTATGATCAACAAAATTCTGTCACCTAGCTAGAATTTTATCTTTCTAATCTCACTCTACCTGATGTTTAGTAAGGAGCAAGAAGGAAAATGGCAATTTGAGAGCTAGATATTCCAATTTGCACACTTTTCTCCTAATAGGGGGACTTGTTTATAGATATCTTGAAGGGCCTTGGGGACAATTGGGTCTTTTATGGTGAATGACAAGTGACAGTTGCCCAATGACTAACTTATAACTTATTATGTTATTGGTTCACGTTTTTCCCCAGCTTACATGTTCTAACAAATAACCAAAGGGTTAGTACGTTTGAGCCTCTACCCTCATGTTCTTTGTTAATGATTTTTGTTGAAAGGGAACTTTATGGAAATAGTTTGCCTCTTTTGGCTGCGAGCCTTTCCCTTCTATACCGTTTCTTTGCTAGATTCTCATGAGTTCGCTAGTTTTTCAGTGGAGTTCAAAAAAAGCATCAAAACGCGAAACGGCCCTTGGTCGGATAACTTTGTTGCTAGTGCGACTGGCTAGCGGTACGCGAGCGACTGCTCTACCGCTTGAGCGCTAGGCAAGAAAAAGGCTAGAGCCAAGTCTCGAGAGAAAATTCAAAGGCGCCGCTCGAGCGACATGCTAGCGGCAATGCAACTACTTTTCTTTCAGATTCATAATTTTGATCTCTTCAAAACCAATTCAACCTAAACCCGAATTAGTTAAATTTTAATACAATATCGCGTCATCAATCTTTAAATGATTATGTAGTAAAAAATACTTGTTGTGCAACATATTTGACAGATTCTTTTACAAATTGACAACGTGGAAATAAATTGAATTAAAACTGTAGAAATTTCTTCACCAATTGTGTTTATATAATCTAGATTAATGAGAAAAAGAAAGTGGAATTTTTTTTTATTTGATTGGAGAGATTTTGGTTGAATTCGTTGTCTGCCTGTTTATATTATTTTCTCAATTTTTATCCATTATGATAATCGATTTTTTATTTTAATAGCATTTGTTTTCTTTTGACTTGAAAATGAAGAACTGAGGATCTGGGCTTTCGATTGTCATTCAAATTTCAATTTTAAGTTCACTGTTGAGTTGGGTGTTGGATAACTCTCAAATCTTAACTTACCGGAACTCAATTAGGATAGTGCAAACCTGATTCCTTAGTCCAATTGGCTCATTTTCCTAAGGGGCAAATTAGGCCAAACACCCAAAAAAAAAATAAAAAAATTAACTGATTTGATTAATACCCTATTAACTAATTAAATCATATAACTACGTATTTAATGCATTCCAAAACCCCCCAAAACCCAAATTAGTCCCGATTCCAGAAAACTCAAACCTCTCACCCAACATCAATGCTCTGCCTGATGAAAATGAAGTCTATGAAGGAGTCTTAGATAAAGATAGCATTACTCGATCAGATGGTTTCTGCATTTCTATCAAATATGTTGGAATATGATAAGGACAAACTTGGTGGAAGCAATAAACGATTCATATAAGGGTAAGATCCTTCACCAAGATTAGATTACANACTTGGTGGAAGCAATAAACGATTCATTTAAGGGTAAGATCCTTCACCAAGATTAGTTTACAGTTTCAAAAGATGCAGCAACAAAACACAGGAATGATTATAGATTAGTTTATGCAAAGTTTTGAACAAGATTTTACCAAGATACTTGCGACCAGATTCAATAAGATTCTGCTGCTTATTATTTCCCCTAACAAAGTGGTTTTACATAAATATAGATTGCTCATTTTCAGGTTGATACATTGCAATTAATGGCACTAAAAATTTCACTTTGGGTGAGAACTCAACAATATTCAATGGCACAATTAAATTAGCAGCGGATAATGCAATTTTTGGGAATGATTCTTCCGTGAACACTACTGGGTGCATAGTTTTGGAATGAGTGAAGGGATCATGTGTGCAACGCTTCAAAATGATCCAAATTTGACTGCACATCTGGGTGGAGTGGCAGCAACAGTTGCCGTGGCTATGAGGATCGATGAAAAGGGTTAAGTTCATTTAGGTATTGCGAGCTTTGGAGGTTGGTGAAGATTTGGAAATATGAAGTATGTTTATATTCTTGTATTTTATGTTTAGTTAGAAGTACTATATGCAAATAAACCAGAATAATAATAATTTAATTACAGAAAAGAAGTGCAACCTAACCTTCTTGAGTTGTAGAGGAACTATGGTAAGGCAGGGATTTATGCTATCCAAAATCAAGCCTATTGAGCAGACTACTCTGAGCAAATAAATTTGAGAGTTAAGGGGGCTTTCTGTATGTGCCACTATGAACACTGTCACTGCCTTTTAACTTTGATTGCTTTGAAGCTAAAACTAAAAGCTTTTGGTTCAAACATAGTGCAAATATCCCTATAACAACCTCTTTTGGATGTGTATAGCACCATATTTTGTCTATATTCATTCATTTTACTGCTGGTAGAAAGCAAAAAGAAGTCGTTTTAGTTTTGGTTGGACAATAGGTGCGATGAGGCCTCTAGTTCAAGTCCAGTTGATTTCTTGTCATTATGTGTTTATTTCTATAGAACTTTACAAATGATTTCTTCGTAGAATAGAATTGCTGCTGAATGCCAACGTCATGTTTTGGTGCTTGTATATCATTTTATGAAGTCTCGGTTGAAACCAAAGGTTGGTGTTCGATATAATGTTTTGAGTGACTTTTTGCCCGATGGGTTGGCCTTGGTGGATGTAGAGTGGTGGTGGCAGTGGAGGGTGGTTGAAATTGCATAAAATAATATATTTTAAGGTTTTAATTAATGTTTTGTCACTTTTTGGGGTTTTGTAACTTTTTAGCATTTGCGCACTTTTTAAAGTGTTTGCCATTTTTACTTTTTTTTTCTCACTTTTTTGAAATTTCTGTTACTTTTTTTTAGTGACAAACATCGCTTTTTAATAATTAATAAAAAAGTGACACTTTACTTTATACAATATTTTTTACTTCCAAAATTTTTTTTATGATTAATAGGTTGACTGAGTTGGTAGATGATGATGGCGGTGAATTGACTTAAAGATATTTGGTGTTTTAATTGGTGTTTTGCCTGTGAAATGACTTAAAGATACTTGGCGGTGAACGAAGAAAGAGGAGGGACAGTGGTCGTGTCACTTTTTTTCCAGCCTTGGTTTCTAATTTCCGTTACTAACACAACTAGAAAATCAGTGACTAAAGTTCTTATAAACCTATGAGTCAAGCCTTAACTTAGTGATGGGGAATAAATGGGGATGGTTAACGTAATTTGTAATTGCATGCTAATTAGTGTGTCATTTATTTTAGTATTTAAGACTATGTTCTTGTATTACTTTTCTAAAACAAATGAAATAATTTCCTCTCTTGGAATTTCATTACCTGCAGTTGGATGTCTTTTGTACATTAATACTGGTATTACATTACCATCTTGGCCTGTTGATGAGTACTACAGTTTTCATATTATGAATCCTCCAATCAGGTAAGAAAATTACTACCTATTTATATACGTGACGTGTTTGAAAGGGATGATTGGGATAACACTACATAGTACGAAGAAGACGAAACTGAAATCTTTTTAATTACATCATATATGCAATTGTTTGCATTTTCAAAACCATGGAATCTTCGATTATGATAATTTATCACATTTTTTTCTTCTGTTTATTCTTATTTCGAAGCAGGAATATGATCAAAAAGCTTATTACCCTTAACGCTGAGTGATCAGTAATGTGATTATAAACCAGAAAAGATAATGTTGTTGAATATTAACTAAAAATCTGTGGCAGGAGGTGAAGTTTCATGCTATAAGAGCGTAAATAATAGGTGCAAAAGTTTATAATTGAGATTGAGCTTTGTTTGCCTGATGAGATGCTGGAATTTATGATTTAGGTCTATCAAGCTCGCATTTATGCTTCCCTAATCTGATAGATCAATGCAACTATACAGACATAACGGAATATGATGGAGACTCAGTAAAATGTGAATATTTTCTAGTAAAATGTGTATCGTGTATTACTAGATTAAGATCTTANNCGTGTATTACTAGATTAAGATCTTACTCTAGCACATGAGAAAATGTGAATATGTGATATCATGTTTTAAGTTCATGCATGCCGCTTTTGATCTTACCAGGAGGAATCTCATTGCAAATGTTGTGAAGTGGACTATTGGATATCTGAAAGGTGTTCACCATCTTTGAATTGTGTTCACACACCATAAAACATCGTTATCTATATTTTCTTGAAGCTTCAATTTTGACTACTCATTCATAAATACAAAAACTTTGCAATTCTTTTAATTTTTAGCTTCTTCCATTCAAATATAGTATGTACTTATTTTTGGATAAATTGCTCAACTATTAATCAATTTTTCAACTTTCACAGCAGGACCAACTTGAGTTTGGTGAACTCGAGTGGTTTTCGGTTATTGTTCTATTTGGTGAACAACTATCGGCATAAGTTTTAGCAGCAGAGCTACTAGTGTCTCAACAAAGTAACTTGACTTCTTATAGGTCAGCCAAATTCTACATGCCTCACAAGAAACCTAGAATTGAAATTCTAGATGATAAGGATGGGTGTTCAACGGTTCCTAATCTTGGATTAATCTATCGTCACCAACTCAATATAATGAATATGTTGCAGCTTAAATCAGATCATACACCTTTTTTTCGTAGATATGCTTATCTATTAGTTACGGTCTTGTTTGCCTTTTTACTTCTCCCCTGTTTGTGG